CGTGTTCCTAAGATTAATCAGTTGTTTTCTTCAAAAAGTAAAAGATTAGTTAGTCGTTAACGTCTCTAATTACGTATAGATTACTGAGCATGACATGTTTTTTGATTCTAAGTAAACCTTGATTTCATTTCTAGTAATATTTTTGTCCGTCTTAGTGTCACCATTTGCTGCTAATGTTACACGTTTCTTCATTTATGTGGATTAGATCCCTGTCATGCGTTAATTAGTAAAACGGAGAGACAGCCAATTGGGTTTAGCAACTTGAGAGATATCGTAATGGGCTGCACCGCAATAAACAGTCTATTTCAACGGGGTAAAACAAAAAAAAAGGGGGGGAAATGTAACTTCTTCATTTCTTTCATCATCCTCAAACGCCCACTTTCAACATCACGTTAACGCTGACAATTTACTGTGATCATGTCATTTTAACGGAAAAAAAAAAGGTTATATCTTGTTGAAAGCTTGTAAACTAAGGCATGAATTAATTTAAGTTTAATCTCAAGATTTGAAGAAGCAATAACTTGATATAAAATATGTAATTAGGATCTAAAAAACAATGGGTCAATCATTATATATAAAAACCTTACTCTTTTACTTATTATTGATGTCTCAGATATCTAATATTTATAATTTGATCGGTTGTCGCTGAACAGAAATAGAAGGTTTTAGATAGATTTCTAATTTATTCTCTTCTTCTCTCTTGTCTACTATTTTTTTTAAATATTAAATTTTCTTTTACAATGAATAATATTAGGCTTATTCTATCAAAGTAATTATAGTAGTAGTAATAATAATAATAATAAATTTAGGCTTAGTCATTTTTCAAGGAAAAAATTGTTGTGCCTGAAGCTGTGTCGAGGAACCAAACCAAACGCCAATCCAAGAGAGTCAAACGAACCAAATATCAATGCACAAACAAAACACCAATTTTAACGTGGTTCGGCAAGTTGCCTACGTCCACGGGGCAAGGGGGGATGGGGTTTTCACTAATAGAGAAAGAGTACAAACTGAGATTACAAATCACTCGAAGGAACAAACTAATCTCACCAACAAAACTCTTAATCTCTCCAAATAAAACCCCTAAACAAAAATAGCTCAAAAAATACCTCTTTTGTGCTCCAAATAGCCCCCAATCAATGCTTAATCAAAGCCTAAAACCAAGCCCAGGAAACCCTAAAAAACGTGTCTCTATTTATAGCAAAACACAATCCCAAACTGATTGGGATTCTAAAAACGAGTCTGCCACACCCTGCACCATGGGTGTGGCAGAGGGTGTGGTGCAGGACAGATTCTGTCACACCCTGCACCGTGGGTGTGGCAGGGGGGGTGGGGCAGGACAGATTCTATCACACCCATGGCAGACACCACACCAGGGTGTGGTGGAGTCTGTTTTGGGTTATTCTTCACGTTTTTCATAATTCCTTCACCGTTTTCACAAAATTTTATGCTTGGAATAAAGGGTCAAAAAGATTTATCAGGATTTGTGAGAAAGGAATTATATTTTTCTTGACAAATCATAAAGATGAGACAAAAGGGTTAGCGCATCAAGATTAAAAACACTAAACACGAATGTGAAATAGATATCTATTGGTGGCAACAACGATTATAAAAGAATTTTCTTAGATTTATGGGCTTGAATAGACGGAAAAAAATACATGTAATAAGACATAAATGATGTATTCGTTATTTAAGCGTGTTTGGCAGGTGGTTAAAGTGGCTTATAGATCACTTTTGTGACTTATAAGCCACTTGAACATGTTTTGCAAATAGCTGATCATTTTGGCTTATAAACCATCAAAAATAATTTCAGACAAACTCACCTTATTTTTTTTGGCTTATAAGCTACAATATTTGACCATGTAAAAGACCAATAATGACTTGCGTGTCAGAAAAATATCAAGTGCATTCTGGTCCGTTACATTAAATATGTATTAAAAGAACGTGAATCCTTAGATCATTAGATTCCAAGATTTATACGTAGATCCAATCGTTGACATCTTTTGGGAGCATATTTATTGCTATGGATCGTTTTCACTGGATACTTTCTCAAAAAATTACTCATGTCCCAAACGCTAAGCTATTAAAAATGGATTATAATGCACTAGATGTACCACACACTTTGGCTTATAATGCATTTGACTTATATTTCACAAACGGACTATAAGCCAAGTAAATTATAATCTAAAATTGCTAAACGTGCTCAGTAAAAGATTTTATTGTATAAACAAAATTGATTGCTTTCTGGAATCTTATGGATTAAACAATATTTTTTTCCTTAAATAGTAAAACTATGCGTTAAAATCTTTGTGCTCACATGTCGCCGTATATATTTGTTTTCTTTTCATTACAGAGGCCTGGGACTTTAATATTCTAGAGGCTGTTATGGGCTTCATCTGGCCTTGATTGTTATTAGATTAATAATCAACTAGCCTGAGATCTGTTTATGTCACGCAATCAATGTTATTTTTAATAAAATGATATCTCAAGCATTGGGGGTGTTTAGTTCAATTTCTACAAACTAGTATAGTGCACGTGCGTTGCACGTGGTATATAGCTATATCAAAATAACTAAAAGAATAATATATAGATATTGAATGAACGTACTAATAATATAATGTATTTATGTTTTTCTCTAGTGTAATATTCTTCTTAAAAAAATTATCATTTTAATAAATATCTTGAGTATCATACTAATATTTTATTTGTGCATTCAAACTTGTTCGTGGATTCGAAGATTGTCCGTTGTGGATTCCGAGGTTACTACTTCCCTGCTGCGTCAATATGTATGAGTAATAAATTAAATATATGATAAATAATTATAATATAATTATATAATATTATGATATTGTAAGGAATTAAACTAAATTATAATATTGAATTATATTAAATCATTAATTATGACAAGTAATTATATTAATACCTGTAATATTTATATGATGTATTTCATCATTTATAAAAAATGGATTAGATAAGAAATTTTTTATAACAATAATAGATCTTACAAAGCGACAAATAATTCCATAATTGATTCGTATATTTCATGGACGTAATCAATCAATCAAACAAAAAGTAGGATTGTGGGCACAAATAAACTACATAAGAACGCATATATAAAATTAAAAGTACCTATTGAATTCATAACATCAAAACTTTCAAATTCATATAATAATACCCACCGTCGACAGTACAACACCATCACCAGATTTCTCACTTTGCACCAGAGAATTGTTAGATCCAACGCATACCAGATGGTATATATATTTGTTCCAACTTTCTTTACAATAAAGAATCTCGATATCAATCTCCTACTCTTAATGTTGCAACCGTTCCTCCCAATAGATGAAAGCTTAAATTCCAACATCATCGATCCAACCTAATACACGATATAGACCGGTTCAATGCGCATCTTAGGTCACCCATTTTATTACTGAACTTGCCTGCATAGGTTTCTTGACATGTGTTGGCACTATTGAGTTAGTTCTTGAGGTCGTACACGGCCCTGTCTTGGTCATTGAGCTGATAGCTTCAAACATGGTCGATGACATCTTTGAGGTCCCGGACTGCATAATCGAAGACGACGTTCCTCGGTGGCGGCATAGAGGATGGTTGATCGGTTGATGGCATCTCTAATGTGGGCGTGGGTGACCTTTAAGAGATCTTGGTTAGGGGTTTTAACGTTAGTGTTGTTGGCTTTGTCTTTAGGCTGAACATATAAAGGAAAGAAGGATGAGTTGTTACTGATAACAGAAGCCTAAAGGTTGGGGGATTAGTATCTAACTAATGGAGTTATAATGGTGATTTAATGGTAACTCTTAATGGATTAATAGGATTGATTAATGGATGGTTGTTTAATGTTGACGTTAGAGAATTTAAATGGTTATAGGTAATGAATTATAATCACCACTTATGAAACAATTCATTATAGTTGTAATGAAAGCACCTAATAATAAGTTGAAATCTTTGACGGCTAATCCTCAACTCCTCTCATGTTTATAAAATTAAATTAAATTTTTTAAAAATATTTTTTCTTATTAAAAAATTTATATGTTTTTATAGTTGACGTATCATTTTTTTGGATTGGCATGCTAAAAAAATATATAATGAATGACGGTTTTTATAAAATTGCACGTGCATTGCAAGCTCTAGTACATGTTAAAAAAAATATAATGAATGGTTTGATGACATTAATATTGGATTAGTGGAGGGGTTACAAAAAATAGAAGTTAAATATTAGTGGACAATTAATAGGAGAGTTATGACATTATTAAGAATGCATGCATATATATGTATGTGGTTATGGTTATATGTATGTGTTTTATGGATTTTATGTATGTATGTATGTGTTTTAAAGGGTATTTTCGAGAGAAATGTTTTAACATACCAAACCACTTTTAGAATAGTATTAGATTATAACAAATATTTTCCACCCAAAATATGATTTCCTTGTATTTCTTAAAAAATATAAGAAAAGTTTTGAGAAGTCAAAAAGTATTAATTTTCTTGTTTTCTTTACTTTGCTTTTGTTTGGTTCAAAACAAGAAAATGACACAAAACTTTATAGAAAATAGCAAGATTTCCTATAATTTGTAGAAATTGAACCAAACACCCCCTAAATTTATAGAAAAATGTCAACTTTATAGAAAAATGTCAATGTGGTGTTAGATTTCTAAGTGATTTCCGTCCATTTTGAGAGAAAATTGATTTCTGTAAAATTTGATACTTTTTTGTACTTAATTTACAGAAAATATTTCTGTAAATTTTTTTGAACCAAACACAGTTTACGAAAAAATTTTAATTACAGAACTATTATTGTCAGACATTTAAAAAAAAAAATCTATAAAATTGTGCAACCAAACTACACCCCCTTATCCTGCAAATGTAAGGCCAGAAACCACGATAATAAACATGCGTGAGAAAACCAAGTCCGTGTGGAACTTTGTTAGCACTACAAAGAAGAGCATGTGTACGATTGGCTCAATAATTTCCATTCACCATTAAAATATAATCAGATGCCCATGGTTATCGATCTAGTCGCCTTCAACGTCAAGACTAAAATAAATCAATGTCCGATGAGACAAAAACTATAGAAAAACAATTAGTTCTCTGCTGATAACCTTGATGTAGGATGCTGATAACCTTTTCTATATATTATAGTACACTAGCATAACAAACTTCCACAACACAAGAAAAATGGAGGAAGAGTGGAGAAAATGGGAAGATTTAGAGATCGATTGCTTGAGCAATATATTTCGAAGGCTAGCTTTGGAGGAACTAATCCTTGATGTATCGTTCGTGTGCAAGTCTTGGTACAAAGCTTCACTCGATCCTCTCTGTTGGCAAATTCTCAACTTTGAAAAGCTAGATTTTTCTCCCGAGAGCAGATTCGCCAAGAAATTCAAGGGAAAATATGCAATTCTTAACTTTTCATTCGCGGGTTTTATGAATTTAGTTGTCGGTCGCAGCTGTGGATTAGCAACCGAGCTCAGATTTCCTCTAGATGGTGTTTCGATTCAAGATTTAGTATCTGCAGCCAATAAGTTAGTAGTTCTCATATCTTCTTTCTCTTATTTTCATCTTGTCTCAGTTACTAAAATGACAATTTTGGTTATATTTTTGTATTTGGTACTTTTTTTTTGTTGATACTAACTGCACACTCTCGTGTAGGTGTCCAAAACTGAAAGTTCTTGCTTTGCCGAATATGACTCTAGAAAATGAGTTACAAATCCCACAATTAGTTGCAAAGTATAAAGATCTTGAGCATTTGGAGATGGATGTGAAGCCTTCTTGTTTCTCTGAACTTGCAGCTGAAATAAGCAACAATTGCAAGAATTTTCGTGGGTTGAAGATGTCCGGGTCAATACAAAAGAGTGATGCGTCCGCTATTGTTGGTTTTATGCCCAAAATCAAGTATTTAGATCTTAGTAGATCTTATTTGCCGAAAAAGGAGTTTATGGTAATAATGAAGGGATGTAGAGAGATTGAGAGACTAAGTGTAAATTTTTGCGTTGGATTTCAAGTGGATAAGGACGTGCTAGAGTTGGCTTCTAGTATTGGATTGTTCGAGTGTGAGGGCTCTAAGCTTTGTGATTATTTTGTGTACGATTCCTTCCATTGGAATCAACTGTACTTAAACGTTGAAGATTTTTTGTAATTTCAATGTTGTGCTTGTAGAGCTTAATTCAAATTGCACCATTTTTTTTGGTGCGTGGGTGGGTTTTGTAATTCAATTTTTTGGCTATGTGTGCTTTCATTTGCGTGTTTTACGCGATCATACTTATGATAGATGGTTTACTACGAAAATGTGGAAGTCCACATGTACGTGTATGCATTTGTGCGTACGCATTATATTTAAGATAGTTATTTATGCATATAATTATAACATTCTGATACTCATAAATCCCTTAAACAAGCCTCTAATATCTTATGGAAAAACCCTATAAAAACGTGAATCACGATTTTCATTCTCAGAAATCCCTTAAACAAGCGTCCAATATCTTGCAGAAAAACCCTATAAAAGCGTGAATCACGATTTTCATTGGCAAAAACATTGTTCTGTGCATTTTGACCCACTCATGTGAAAATTGTGGTTAACAGTATTTTTAGCATTTAAATAATCTATTTTATTCACATGAAATGTTTCAACAGTGCTTTTAGTAATTGAAAATTCATAGAAATAACATTTCTAAGTGTTTTCAGAGGTTTTTGGTGTGAAAACACATTTCTTAAAAATCTGATGTGACATTCTACGTGGCACCCTCATTTCTTTAAATCACAAAACGAAACAAACATGTAATTTGAAAATCGGTTGAAACCAAAATCCTACACGGCGAAGGGGATTTCTTGAAACGTGACATGGCAGGTAGTTTTCTCATTTTTTTTGGCAAACAAACAGCCCCTAAATCGAACTTTGCTTTTGCAGGTCTCTATCCGTGCATTACCACCACAACCAGATGCACGAGAAAGGCCGTCCTTTTCTTCTAGTAGCATCAAGAAAAGACAAGTAATAATAATATTTTGCTGATAAACGATCAGGTAATAATCAAATCCGTCGTCACCGAGACCCCACAAACAAAGGCCACCGGTGTACAAACAAAAACCAATTTTATTTTTTAATAAATAAAATATGTTCCTCTCATAGAATATAATTTGCAGAGGCCATCAGCGCATATCTCGATTTGGTCTGATTAATGCCTCAAACGCCGGTACATGTTCATGTCATCTTCTTAATAAAAAGTTATTGTATATCACTTTGTTTTCTATTTATTAATCGTACTAAGTCAAGATTTCACGTTGTATTTGTGAGCAATTGGGGTCTTTTGAAAAAAGATGGGAAAATATGCAAATAGATTACTTTTTTTGTTGGAAGATTCTCAAGGGACTCATATTTCATGTTTGGGAGCAAATTTGTTGAGAAATTTCAAGCCAGGTATGCTCTGTCAAAACTTTTCATTTGCTGCTTTCCTGAAATTAGTTGTCAGTAAAACTTGAGGCTCGTGGTTGAGCTCAAGTTTCCTCTTTGTGGATCAATTGAAGATTTAGTTCTTGAATCCAATGAGCTATAAGTATCAACCTTTCAATTCAGAGTTCCCAGTTTTTTGTACAGTGGATGTGTCTCAATTATCATTTATATTCTATTTACCGGTACGTACATCAGTACATGTTCTGGTTGATAACAACATCATTTTTTTTGCTGAGTTTTAAACTCATATGGAAATGTTCTTTATAAACGTCTAACCCTGATCATCACACGATTCTCGCTAGAATTTAAAACTAATGAACGAAAAGATATGTTATGCATAAGATCAACAATATGCAAGTGCTAATAAGAATATGTTGTGCGCAGCGGAAATTTCGGCAGAGTTTCTGGTGCACAATAAGAGAGAAAGATCGATAAGAATTCCCGTCTCACCAAGGAGACAAGAATCTAAAGCGGATATCTCAACCAAGTGAGATATCGGCTCTTCCTCTCATCAGTTCTAGGACTGACCTGTCGAGGGATCCTAAAAACTATTACAATGACCACAAACTCAAACAAATCAATTTTACGTGGTTCGGCAAACTGCCTACGTCCACGGGGCAAGGAGGGGGAAGATCTACTAATAGAGGGAGAGAATACAACTAGGGTTTACAATCACTCACAAACTAAACCCTCAAACAAATTCTCAAATCCCTCACAAATAAACTCTCACAAAAGGATGCACAAAACCCTAAAAAGCCTCAGCCTTTTCTTTTGCACAGCACTCCGAAAAGAAATCCCCAGCCGCAAAACACACCAGCAAATCAACCTCCTGCTCTATGCGCTTTTTGTTCCGCAGTCGCCAGTCTTTTTCACAAAAGATTCCCCTCTGCCTCTTTGCTGCAGCCGAAACAAATAAACCCACCTTGCACAGAGACCTAGGGTACGAATTGATGGGTATTTATAACATATGGGATCGGGTGGGCCATAAGTCACAAAGAAAACCGCAAACATCACGTTCCCGTGGTATTTATAACATATGGGATCGGGTGGGCCATAAGTCACAAAGAAAACCGCAAACATCACGTTCCCGTGGCTTTGCTGCCAATTTCTTCAATCAAATTTTTCTTCACGTGGGTTGTTGGCCCCACCACGAGTCACATCCATAATTCTCCACATCGGTGAAGTTTTCCCAAAACTGAGCCGACACCAACCAAACCAAATATCTCACTTGTTGTGTCCAGTACGAAGTGAAACAATTCACGACAACGGACTCAATCCATAACAAGTCAAGAACCCAAATAAGAGTGCTAATACTCTCCAAATATCGGTATCAACTCACCAAATCGATCTCACCCCCATCAAAATCCAACCCGGCTGCATCATAAAGACTGCCTACGTATCCTCTTGCCCAAGGAATCAAGCCGAACGTAGTTCACCCAAATGGTCGCGAATGACCTCAATCAACTAGAAGAGTTCGCAAGCCTTCTCCAATATCATCAACTCTGCGGCTGATAGCACCTCCATTGGCCTCAAACACCTCCACCTGAGGTGAACCAATGGTCATATCCAAACTGTATCTATCAGCTGCACTCGAATCAAAACCCAACTCATCATCTGCACCCAAATCCAAATGACTTCCACGCCGTGTCACCTCAGCTGGAATCCCAACCAATGTAGAATGACCTGGAGTATGTGAGAAAATCCCTACCCAATGTGGAGTAGCATCAGTCTCCACCCGCTGCGATACCTCTAAGGTCTGTCCAAAACTCTCCACCTGCTGAGAGTCAATTGGCTTCCTCATCGAAGCCTCAACCAAAGTGACACTACCAGACCTATCTTCCAATGGAGTTTTACCTCCAATCACAGCAGTTGACAACTCTTTAATAGGATGACCCAAATATGTCGAAGCCTCTGTCCAGAAACTCTTCTGCAAACCATTGCTCGACCACAAACACTGATCCTCCTCCAGCAAGGCACGGTTCTCCAAATTTGTCACCTTATCTAGTTACCCCAAGATTTCTTTTCCAACGAAGTGTCTCGCAATGTCGTGAGCTCGGCTCCAATACAGAAATAGGTACATCTTGTACCTCCCACCAGAATGGAGTACCTTCACCTTTCTGTCTATCACACACTTCTTCAAACTGTTAGAGACTACTAGGACTTTATCCATAGGGGATTTGGTTGCAACCCAAACACGCCTAGAACAGCCACCAACAAAGGAAACCAAACTTCTATTACCTCCCAATGATGCTCCCTTGGAAGGCCCCCAAACATCCACGTGAACTCCTCCAGAACGACCCTTAGCACGGTGAATAGAGGTGCCACACTTCACCTCGGTCTTCTTGCTCACATCAACATGTTCACTGGACTTCAAACTGCAGGTCTTTGCACCCTCTTTCAATCTATGCGAGGAATCAATACTGGAATGACCAAACCTCAAATGCCGAAGTCTAGTCGAATCAACAGAAGTCGTCAGCTCTCCACCTGCCACTATACCTCCAGTCAAGTAATACAGGTTATTTCTCCTGACGCCCTTCATCAAAATACGAGAGTCTCTCGCAATCTCGAGAACCATGTCCTCTACACGAACCTTCAGACCCTCTCCAACCAAAGCTCCAATCGAGATCAAGTTCTTCCTCAAAGAAGGAACATATCTCACATCGTTTAACTCTCTAACAGTCCCGTCAAACATCTTTATGCGAATTCTTCCTATCCCAAGTGTTTGTGGAAAAATTTGCAGTAAAAGAAATAAAAGAAAAATTGATTTGTATTCATTTAATCTCAGTTACAATTGGATTTTCGATTATAAAAGAGAAGAGAATGATCGGGATTCTCTCCTTTGTTTAATTCTGGGTTCTTCTTGGTAGCGGTGAGATGCCTCCCTCGATTGTTTGCGTCGAGTTTGCTTCTCGTTGACGATCCGAATATCTATACTCACTGGAATAACTGTCTTGTCTGGTTGATAACTCTTGACGAGTTTTGTGATTCAGAACAAGCAACAAACTCTAATGATATTGTTGATATTTATAGGGGGATAGGGGTGTAACTGCCCCCATAATCCGCACCTAAGTAGGGGTTTAGTTACCTCATTAGTCGGGTGTAACAACCCACTAAAGCCACTCCTCAAATCGTGGGTGAAGAACAGCTTCGAAGTTGTTACGATCGCGTTTGAATGAGTCAGAACCTTGACCTGCGTTCTGGCGGTGATTGAGCTGCGTTTGGCAGTGATGGATGAGCTGCGTTGGCAACGGTTGATAAGCTGCGTTGGGCAGCGATGGTTGATAAGCTGCGTTCGAGCTGTGCTTGGCAGCGATTGGAGCTGCGTTCGAGCTGTACTTGGCAGTGATTGGAGCTGTGTTCGAGCTGTGCTTGGCAGCGATTGGAGTTGCGTTCGAGATGTGCTTGGCAGCGATTGGAGCTGCGTTCGAGCTGTGCTTGGCAGTGATTGGAGCTGCGTTCAAGCTGTTGATTGTTGTAGTATTTAGATTTCTCTGTCTTTATATATGGATGACACCAAAGACCAGTAAAGAAGGTCTTATTCAGGCCATTTGTGACAATTGAGGCATCTCAATAACGCTCTATCAACTGCAGGTCATGATCTCCACTGAGTGTGTCGAATATCATTACACTGCTCATCAGCACCTCTAATGGTTGCTAATATAATATTAGTCATGTTGTTGTCGCAGCCATCAAGATCAATCATCTCACATAAGAAGCTGCATTCGTGTTTATAGCTGTTGAATCGTCAGATTGTAACTCCCGATGTTGATTGT